GGTCACAACATGCCAGCCACTTTACTCTGGATATTTACATGTATCATCCCATTTTCCAGCACCACTAGAGATAGATGTACCCATTTTACATATGAAGAAACTGAGAAATCAGCTTGCCCAACATCACATAGCTAAGCAAGTGGTATTGTACCTCCAGGTACCTTGATTCAAACTCCAGTGCCCTCTCTACTACAATAGTGTAACTAGGAAGAATTATTCAGAGCAGAGAAGTAAAGATCCTCTTCTGAGACTCAGGGCTTGGACAGAGAAAGCATCTTGTGGTATGTGTACTCCAGGTCCTGCTGGAAGGGGCTGAGTTGTAAAGGACCAAAGACCAGGCTGTGTCCCCACCTTCCTCAAAGGTTTCTCTAATAAAGCTCCCTCCTGGGTGGCCAAAGGGTAATTATTTTGAGGGCATGGTTCTCTGTTTTCCCTGGAGAAACCTATTGTAAGATTATTACAGTGCTTACTTTCTGGGCTTGGCAAGAGCTTTGCCCAGACACAAAGCAGAGGAGGTAGGGAATGAATGGCACGTGCTTTTGAGAGCCATCCACCCACGTCACAGAGACGTGAAGTTATCCCGGGTGACAGCTTGTCATGGGCTGGGAAACAACCCTCAGGAGATGGCTTTGGGGGAAAGACCTTGTTCCCCTCAGAACTCCCAGAACTCCCAGGTCTGAAGTTCCTGAAACTGCCTGGTCTAAGGGGCTGGTCCTGTGACATTCGGAGGGGTGTGCCTCGCCTTCTCTGGAAGTTGTCCCACCGTTCCCTTTGTGGAAAAAATACACACAGCCAGATGGTGGGTGCTGAAAGGTCAAGGCCAAGAGAACTCCATGTGACTTTGGAAAAGGGCAATATGTAGAGTGCAAGAAAACAGTTTTCAACAGACAGCCTGGATTCAAAGTCCAGCTCTGCCACTTAGCAGTTGTGTAGTTGTGGGAGGCTTGTTTCACTTCTCTTGGCATTTGGCTCCTCATCTGTAAAATCAGAATAATAACAGTGCCTCCTACATGGGATTATGGTGCTCACAGGAGGTAATATACATCAGGTGTTCGGCACAGCATCTGGCGCATAGCAAACATTTAGCAAATGCTAGCTATTATTATCATTATCCTTCTCGTTAGCATTATGAGGACTCTCCACATCCATTTCCCCAAGTCCTCCCAATTGCATCAGGCAACAGCCAAACAATTATGAGGAACAATGGCCACTGGGAATCTAACCAAACCCCAGAGGCAGCTGGTTCAACGGCTAGGCTGTAAGTAACCCCTCCAGAGAACCATCATCTACCCTACCCCAACACGCTCACTTAGGATCTTCACTTCTTCCCCAGAAAAAAATCCATGGAAATTCAGCATTTGAGTTAGCGAAGCCAGAGCTCGCCAGGTATCTTGAGGTGCCTAGGATTGGGAACATAGGACAATATCTCTGTCATCTCCCATCTCCACCTTCCCACACACACCCCCAGCCCTGAATTTGTCAGGCAAGACCCCAAGAAGCAGCTGAGACCTCCAGGACAGGCATGATGGAGGCAGACAGTGATATCTTTATTTTAGGCTGGATGCAACCCTGGCCCAGGGTGAGAGGCCATTGACCACAAACAGGAAGAGAGTCTGCTTTACAGATTAACATGGGAATGGGAGGGGGCACCAGGGGTCATCGGGGTCAGGTACCTCTTTGGGGGAAGTAAAGGATGGCAGTGGTTTTCTGCTGATTTACAGCATGATATTCTGTAGATTTACTGGGTTTCTTCTTTTTCAAATTAATTTTATTTTACTTTGAAAAGTAAACAAAAGTAAGTACGAAAATCAGAAGCAAAGATAGAAAGATAGAAACAGGGTAACATAAAACAATGCATAGGTTACAGATTTCCAAAACAAGAATAGCTGATTAACAATGGCTGGTAAATTATCTATTTTTTATCATTTGTTCATTTTAATGAGAAAAAAGATACAATAGCAATGAAAGTTTCAAAACTGGTTAGTATGACAGTTACAATAATTAATATATTGCATATTGTTGTCTTCATAGTAGTTATTCAGAGGACACAATGTAGACATGATATCTTGTCTAAACAATATTAGTACAAACTTTTCTTCTCATTGAACTAAGAGAAAGTAGCTGCATATCTATCCTAACTATTTTGTATATACATATATATTTTTTAACTACAAAATTCTCCTTCATTTATATGCCCCTTTTTTGCTTTGTTTTGTCAGAGATGGGTGTTCCATTGCTGTTAGAAAAGCTGTATTTGGAGAAGTCATTTTTTTTTTTTTTTTTTTTTTGTGGAACCGGGGATTGAACTCAGGCCCTTGCACTTGCCAGGGAAGCGCTTATTCCACTGAGCCAAGTCCCTGTGCCTGCTTGCAGGTGCTTTAATCTGCTGAACTATAAAAGAGGAATTTCTTGAGTGGACAAGGAAGTCATTTTTTTTTTTTTTTTTT